AGCAGGAATAAAGGAAAACCAAGGCACTAGAAAATAAATCAGGGGCAAAAGTAATAGCAAATAGGAAATATGAAAGATGTGAGATGAGAGGGGGTGGAAAGAGAAAGCAACATTTACATGTATGTAAAGGGGAAAAGTACCAAGGAAATAACTGACACTGATGTCATTGATTCTCAGTTTTTCCTAACTGCAAAAGAAAAAAGTATTGGCATTATGAAACTCTGCAAAGAAAAAGGGACCTTCCCTGCACTGGTAGAAGAGAATTTCAGCAGCTTGGCAAGATAACCCACCCACAAGTGCTTTTCTCAGTATTGGCCATTGATAGATGGAAGTTCTAGGATTATCTCAGTGCAAACGGAAAAGATTTAACCCCAATTGCAGTTACCTGTGCATTTGTTATAAGTAAAACTGATTTGGGGGATTAAATAACAGCTTTGTTGAAATCCACAGCAAAAGTACTGACTTTATTTGTGAGGATCACACCTGTGTATTTCTTCCCTTACCTTGAACTTCAGTATTTTTGGGCCAGCTCCTCTATGGAAGCAAAATTGCTGCACTGACCTTGGGATGCCACTTCATTTTAGATTTAATAATGGCAATTTCATGGTATGCCTAGTTTAAACTGCTTTGAGCAGGAAGATGGACCAGGTGATTTTCTGAGGTCCCTCTCAACCTGAATTACCATATGTTCCTATGATTTAAAATTCTAGAGTTTCAACTGTTACAGGTTTAGAAAGTGCCTTTTAAAAAGAAAGTTGTCTTTTCGCATTGTTCTGTTTAAAGCAGAAGTGAAGCTCTCGCTGTAAGCCTCAATGAGACATTCCAGACATCAAATATTAAACCACCAAATGAAACCCTGAACAAAATGTCTCTGACAGTGTCTGTAACAATAATTTTCCTTAATGAAATGAAATCTCCTAATCTAGTCTTTGGTAGAAAATGAGAAACTCACCCAGCCACCGTTCGCATCTATCCATTCAGCTTTGTTGTTTATGATGTACTCTGTGATGAAATAGGAGATCTGCTCCTTCTCCTCTGCAGTCAGCTGAACTCCATGCTCTTGAAGCTTCTTAGTGAGAAGACCTCCAAACGTAAATATGGTCATAATTCGTCCCCAGTTAGTATTTCCATCAGCAAACTTTTCTTCCATGACACCATTGAAAATTCTCTTGGCAACAGCTACAGAGGAGATATCAACCCTGTCCAAGAGTGGTCCAAGAGCCTCCTCGGTTTGCTCTTGCAGTGAAGAGGCAATGCTTCTCAGGACGTGAGCAACCCTGGTTTGGGCTGGTCCGAGGTGTGATTCCTGAAGCACATATTGCAGATAATCTTGAGCTAAGTAATAAACGTAATAGAACTCAGCAGTTTCCATTCAGAATCAAATGCAGAGAGCAGTGCACTGCGTTTAATCGGGGTCGGTAATGAGCAGCCACAGGACATGCACACAGCTTCGTATTGTCTGGTTTTGATGGAATCTTTCTGCTTTTACCACAGAATTTCCTGTAAAAAGCTAGTGACTTAATGGTTGTGTGGGTTGGGGAATATGTCACAGAGGAAATGAAAGAAAAAGTGCCTGCTCAGGGGTAGAAAACATGTCTTCCTGAGCGATTTACTATTTCTCTAAATAGTATGATTCCGGAACTAAAAACTACCAGTTTTTACCACATTCTCTAGTAGTATAAATTGGCATTTCCTAGGGACTTTTGCTATGTACCACTGGCAAAGGTTTGGCATTTGGCTTGCAAAATTCTGAGAATGAGGTATGCTAGCAAAGGTTAGGCATTTGGCTTGAAAAAAACATGCCTAAAAAGTGCATATTATTGGAGCATGCAGTGCCCCCAGCACCCTCATCTTCTCCCACCCCAGTCTCCTTGCTGTTGGGTTTATGGCTGAAGTCTGTATTGCAGGTTCGTGGGTTATTTCTGATTCACAACTTTTGGAAGAAACTGGTAGACATTTCCAACAGGATGGAAGAATGGATAAACTTCCTTCAGCAGTCGGAGTTTTATGTAACTGCAAAATGTGGGAGCTCAGCAGTGGTACATGTATGGATAGACAAAGGGGAAAGCCAGCTTTATAGCACTATCCTGTTCCAGACTTTCCCACACTCTGTGAGTGCTCTACAAGGTGCTTCTTTGAAGATTTGAATAGGTAGCTTCAAATATTTCTTTCCCCCATGGGGAGTTCTGCTGTAAAAGACATTATTAGTAATAAAAGACAAAGCTAACACACTCAGCGTGTCAGAACATGGGCTGGAAAATACGAGGCCAAGCCAATGATGTGTGACACCACCTGAATCTTTTAGGACAGGTAACAAAGAAGTATCATGAAGCCTACAACAACTGCTCTTAGATTGAAGTTTTCTGTCAAGACGTTATTTTTGGGAGAAGATGCAGGGATGCCTATCTAGTCAGCTTTTTCCATGCAAACCTCTTCTCCTGAGGCAACCTGATCTTGCTGAAGGGTCAGGATATGTCTGTAGAGAACCTCAACCCATTGCAAAGGCTTCAGAGCAACAAGAAATTTGATGTTTGGAGACCCTTCTCTTTCTTCACCCCCCCTTTTTTATCCCTTTACTTCTTACCCACCTCTCATTCGCTCCTCTTCTCGGAAGGAAAAAGGCACTCCCTGCTCCCCACACCAACAGCTTTTATTTGACCCAGGGGTGGCTATGAGCCTGTTCTCAGCTCCCTGGTGCTCAGATCTGTGGTAGGTGAGCAAAGCCACATGCCTGGTAGCCAGCACAGGGCTCAAGTCTCAGCTGTCAGGATAGCACTGGCATCTAATCACACTGGGGCAAAGCATGTCCAGACTGTGATACAGCTCTGGTGTCAGTACACTGCTGGCCATAGCAGCCCTCCAGAATGTGTGTGCTGCTGCTCTGACATCACAGTTTTTGCAGAAACCCATTGAGTAGACCAGAGTGGTTTCCATTTCCTTCTCAGGTTTCTACTTCTATGCGTGGTGGGTCTGGCTGAGAATGACACAGTAGTCTTCTACGCACAGTGGGGTTTGAAACCTCCAGCTATTTCCAGCACAGCACACACATCAACCAATTCAGTGATGCAGGAAAATATTTCCCTCGCTTTCTCTTGGAAGCAAAGAAAGAGGCAGATTGGTGCTATGTTCCCCTTTGGGAGAGAACGGGTTTAGGAGGGCAGTGCAAGCTGGAAAACTCCCATGTTAGATGTTACCCCCAGGGAAAGATGTGATGCCAGGGCTGGGAATGGGCTGGGGATGGGAAACTGGATCTCTCGTCTTTCATGCACACACGTTCTCACAAAAGCTCATTTTGAAAGTTCAGAGGTGTCCTCTATCCAATACCTGCAGCTGCTGCTTTGGCAGAGCTGCTAGTCTGGCTTTGCCTTTGTTATGTTCAGTGATTTCAGCAAACTGCCAAGGTTTTATGAGGAATGAAAACAGACCAAAAAAAAAAAGGATGTGACAGTCCCTAACTCTTCCCAGCTGGGCAGGAATTTCTGGGGCAGAGAGAAGGCATTTCTTCACCCATCCAGCTCCCCTCCTGTCAGATGCTTGCTGCAAACAGGGCTGAGAGTGGTACTCGAGCAGACATCACAAGAATCCTCTTACAGCACCGTCAGTGAAGTTATAGATCACTCCTGACTCTCTTAATAATTGATTAATGAAAAGCCTTTTGTCTCCTTTGAGTATATAAGTAATAGTTGAATATGAGAACAGTGAACAATTCCTAGGGAGACCAGTTTTGTTTTCTTCACCATCAACAGCAGCAGAGCACAGGCAGAAGTAGATATTTCTTCATTAGTGGAGTGTTTAGGATTCTGAGGAGGGTGATGAAATAAGGCTATGAGTATATCACCATTATTGAAAGAAATCAGTGTTAATATCTTGGCAATTTTGGTGCAAATACTGCCACTTACAGTCTCTGATCTCTTAGAGGGCTGTGAGGTGAAGCTCAGCACTGAGCTCCCAGAAGGGGGTGACAGCTCTGAGCAGAATCTCCAACAGCCAGCTGTGACACTGCTGAACAGAGCTCAGGATGTGGCTGTTGAAGATACCTCAGGTCTTTCTCCTTCAATGTTAGACACATTTCCTTTTCAATCGCGTGCAGCAGAGGGTGCAGTTCCAAGTGTTGGATGTTCAGTAGCAATGACCGTTTATATATCAATACACACAAAAAGAGTCAGACCAGAGAGCACAGCCCAGTGTTCCCAAGTGATAATGGGCAACTCTGAGTACTCTAAGGAATCACCGTGGGATCTCTTGCCTGTATCATGTGACTCTGATTCTCATTTTCTACTTTAGGCAGTGCCTTCCCTTCTTCTACCAAACTTCCTTCACAGTTTGTAGTTGTAAGTGAACAACTTAATGAAACTCTGCTTTTCTTTCTACCTGTTCTGTCCTGCCAGTGCTGCACAAACTGCATTCTCATACACTGCACTGCTTCTTCCTTGTTTTCCCCTTTGCTGATTATACTTTAAGTGTTAATAAAAGGCATGAAACAGAAACCAGCTTGAAGCTCAAATACAAACCCTCCCCTCACTACTTGGCAATAGCAAAGGGCGTCAGATACTTTTATTTAAATCTGTGCTCTGTGGTTTTGACTCCACATCCTACTGCCCTCACTACTTGGCAATAGCAAAGGGCTTCAGATACTTTCATTTAAATCTGTGCTCTGTGGATTTGACTCCACATCCTACTCTAACCTGAAAAGTCTTTTATTTTCCAGAACAGATGGGGACTGAGTTGACATATCCTCATAAAACTGACTTGTGAGAGACGATGTTATCTCATCGCATTAAAGACAAAACCAAGCCAAATGACAAAAGCTTCGTTGAGCTATTCATGCTGCATCTGTCCTGCCGGAATTGTTCCAGCTCCAGGTGATTGTGGCAACTGTGATCTTTGCCCGGAGGAACATTTTGAAGCCTTGAGAAAATTATTGCAGATTTTTTTTCTGCTTTCCCTCTCTTTTTGATGTCCAAAGCGGAGCGATTTTTTGGTGTGTGGTGTTGGATTTCAATGCAGAGGAACGGCTGGGGTCACTTGCAGCTCTCCAGCTGTCCCGCACAGCGCTGGTCCAGGCGTTCGGGGGGTTCGGTGATGTTTTTCTCCGCTCGCCCCGGCGGCTCCGAGCGCTGCGCTCGCCGCGGGTTGCCCAGTGGAG